AGAGGACATCTACAAACCAAATAGAGGAAATAAATACTGTAGTTACAGAACTATTAAATGGTGAGGAAGTCAAGACAATTGCAAGATAGACTGTTTTAAACTAGGGAAGAAAATAATAAATCACAGGGTAATCTCAAAGAAAAATAATAAACCTTTGCATCAAAATAAAAAAGAAGACAAGCACAAATATTTAGCAAATACTAAAACAGCAGCAATGAAGGAAATGGTAACACGATTCAGAAACAAAATGAGTTCAACACAAAAAATTATATGGAACAAAGAAATCAGCAACACCATGAAAAAAACACATAAGAAAATGACAGCAACAAATTCATACTTGTCAATAATTATACTGAATGTAAATGGATTAAACACATCACTCAAGAGACAGTTACAGACTGCACAAGAAAATATAACCCATCAATAGGCTGTCTACAAGAGACACACCTTAGAGACAAAGACAAAAATAGACTAAAAATCAAAGGTTGGAAAAAGATACATCAAACAAATGGCAACCAAAAGAGAGCTGGAGTAGCAATATGAATTTCTGATAAAATTGACTTTAAGACAATACCCACCATATGTGACAAGGAAGGACATTATATAATGATTAAAGGATCGATTGAACAAGAGAATATAACCATAATAAATATCCATGCACCCAATGAAAGAGCCCCAAAATACATAAATCAGCTTTTAATAGAATTGGAAAGACAGATGATTTCACAGTCATAGTCTCACTCAAACTCACTGTTGTTGAACTGACTCCAACTCATAGTGACCCCTCCTGGGGTTTCTGAGGCAGTATCACTAGGGAAGTAGATTGCCCAATCTTCCTTCTGAGGAGTGGCTGGTGGGTTTGAACCGCCAGCCTTCTGGTTAGCAGTCAAATGCCTTAGCACTGTGTTACCAGAGCTCCTACAGTAATAATAGGAGACTTTAATACACCACTTTCAGTGAAAGAGAATAACTGGAAAGAAACTCAACAAAGATGCAGAAGAGCTAAACAATACAATCTGTCAACCTGACCATCTACAGAGCACTTCACCCAACAACAGCACAATATACATTCTTTTCCAGTGCACATAGAACATTCTCCAGGGTAGATTATATTATTACGCCACAAAGCAAGCCTCAATAAATTTTAAAACATTGAAATACAGCACGGCATCTTCTCAGATCACAATGCTATAAAATTTGAAATCAACAATAAGAAGATCAATGAAAAAAGAACAAACATGGAAACTGATTAACACCCTCCTTAAAAATGACTGGGTAATAGAAGAAATAAAAAATGAATTTTAAAAAATTCCTTGAATCAAACAAGAATGGAAACATTATACCAAAATCTTTGGAACACAGCAAAAGCAGTGATCAGAAGCCAAATTATACCAATAAATACACACATCAAAAAGAAGAGCCCAAATCACACCTTAACCCAACATCTCAAACAATTAGAAAAATAGCAGCAAAAAAGCCTATAGTCACCAAAAGAAAAAAATAATAAAGATTCAAGCAGAAATAAATGAAACCAGAAAATAGAAAGACAACAGAAAAAAATCAACAAGACTAGAAGTTGGTTTTTTGAAAAGATTAATATAAATGACAAACCACTAGCAAACTTAACAAAAGAAAAGGAGAGAATACAAATAACACAAATAAGAACTGACTTGGGTGATGTCCCAACAGAACCAACTGAAATAAAAAGAATAATACTGGGATACTATGAAGAACTATACTCCCACAAATCCGAAATTCTGAAAGAAATGGACAGATTTCTAGAAACAGATTACTTACTTAAACTTGCTTAAACCTCAGAGACTGAGGCTGGAAAATTTGAACAGACCTGTAACAGAAGAAGAAATTGAACAGGTCATAAAAAAGTCACCAACAAAAAAAAAAGTCCTGGCCCAGATGATTTCACCAGAGAATTCTACAAAACATTCAGAGAAGAACTGACACCAATCCTACTCAAACTATTCCAGAACACAGCAAAGGAAGGGATCCTCCCAAATTCAATTTATGAAGCAAGCATAACCTTGATACCAAAACCAGGTAAAGACATCACTCAAAAGGAAAACTACAGACCAATATCCCTTATGAAATAGATGCAGAAATCTTCAACAAAATCCTGGCCAACAGACTCTAACAACATATCAAAAAAATAATACATTATGACCAAGTGGGGTTCATACCAGGTATGCAAGGATGATTCAGCATTAGAAAAACAATCAACATAATCCATCACATTAGTAAAATAAAAGAACCACATGATCATATCAATCAATGCAGAGAAGGCATCTGATAAAATCCAACACCCATTCCTGATCAAAGCTCTTAGCAAAATAGGAATAGAAGGGACATTCCTCAGCGTAATAAAGGGCATCTATGCAAAACCAACAGCCAACACTGCTCTCAATGGAGAGAGACTGAAACCATTCCCCTTGTGAACAGGAACCAGACAAGGTTGCCCTCTATCATCACTTCTATACAACATTGTTCTGGAAGTCCTAGCCAGGGCCATAAGGCAAGAAAGGGAAATCAAAGGCATCCAAATTGGTAAGGAAGAAATAAAACTATCCCTGTTTGCTGATGATATGATCCTATACATAGAGAACCCAAGAAACTCAGCAAGAAAACTCCTGGAACTAATTGAGGGATCTAGCATAGTAGCAGGACACGAGATCAACGTCCAAAAATGAGTTGGATTCCTCTAGACCAGCCAAGCGTTGGCTGAAAAAGAAAGAAGGAAATCAATACCATTTACAATAGCTACCAAAAAAATAAAATACTTGGGAATAAATCTTACCAAGGATACAAAAGACTTGTACAAAGAAAACTACAAAACAGTACTACAAGAAACCCTAAGAGATCTACATAAATGGAAGAATATACCATGCTGGTGGTTAGGAAGACTGAAGACTGTGAATATGTCAATACTACTCAAAGCAATCTATACATTTCAATGTAATCCCAATCCAGATCCCATCAACATTCTTTAGGATATGGAAAAATCAATCACTAATTTTATATCCCAGCATTAATAGCAAAGTTTAGTAAAAAAGAAAATAACAAAAGCTGGTGAGGATGTAGAGATTGGGACTCTCATACACTGCTGGGGAGGGGACTGTATAATGATACAACCACTGTGGAAAGCAGTATGGTGATTCCTTAAAAAGTTGGAATTAGAAATGCCATTTGATCCAGCAATCCCATTACTAAGTATATATCCTAAAGAAGTGAGAAACAAGACGGGAACAAATATATGCACACCCATGTTCACTGCAGCACTATTTACAATAGCAAAAAGATGGAAACAACCTAGGTGCCCATCAACAGAAGAATGGATAACCAAACTATAGTTCAGACACACAGTGGAATACTATGCAGCCCTAAAGAATAATGTAGAATCTGCATAACGTGGATGAACTTGGAGGGTATTATGCTGAGTGAAATAAGTCAATCACAGAAGGACAAATATTGTACTAGTCCATTACTGTAAAAAGTCGAGGAAAGGTTTACTTTCTTTGTTGGTTACCAGGGATGGAAGGAGAGAGGAAAGAACACTTCTAGATAGGTAGAGAGAAGTACTGATTGAGGGGGAAGGGCAATGTACCACAAGTGAGTGATCAACATGGTGGCACTGAGGAAGAGGAAGGCAGAGAGAGGTACACAGGAGGTACAGACAACACAAATGAATCCTTTTGTATATACAGTACTGCACTGTCAGTGATGGCAAACATTGATCTATGGTGGATAGATGGGTGGACGGGCTGAATGATCAGGTATGTCTAGGCAGAGAGGAGTGTGCCTATGACCACATATAGGGTTGGCAGATCAGGTTTCTACATGCATATTTATATGTGCTATAAGAATGTCTGGGTTTATAGTACAGCTTGTAAGGGTCACGGTTGTGGTGGCTTCCTGGCCACAGCCAGTTACCCTGAGAGAGAGTAGTTGGACCTGTGGGCTCAAGACCATGGTTGTAGGAGACATCAAGGTCAAGTGGCATAACACACTACACAAAAACACTGTTCTACACCCTACTTTGGTGAGCAGCAACTGGGGTCTTAAAAGCTTGCAAGCAGCCATCTAGATGCAACGATGGGTCTCTCCTCGTTCGGAGCAAAGAAGAATGAAGAAAATCAAAGACGTGAGGAAACAGTTATTCCAAGGCACTGGTACACCATGCGATCCTCAGGCTACACGACTATGAGACCAGAAGAACTAGATGGTGGCCGGCTACTACTGTCAGGGGATCAGTGCAGGAGATCCTGGGAAGAGTGGGAGAACAATGTGGAACAAAACTCAAAATCACACACACACAAAAGAGCAGGTTTGCTGGTCTGATAAAACCTGGTGAGACCCCTGAGACTACGGCCCCTAGCCACCCTGCAGGTCTGGAACTGAACTCACTCCTGTGGCTTCCAGCCAAACAGCAGACAGGCATATGGGGTGAACATTTATAGCAGGTAGATACACTCCTTGGAGCGATCAATCGCTGGAGAATAGAAGGGCTGTGTTTGCACAGGGAGACAGCTTGGGGGGGCAGGAGTGCATGGGAGGGAAGGACACAGGGAAAAGGTAACTATGGGGAGGAAGTGGGGGGGAGCTGTTACACTGAGGGGATGGTAGTCAATGTCGAGAAACAAGATGTGTATGCACTGCTGTGTGGAAAATGAACTGCTCTGTAAACTTTCACCCCAATCACAAGAAAAATTTAAGTAAGGAAATACTAAAGAGAGTGCTTCAGATTAATAAAAGGACACCAGATATAACTCAAAGAAAAGAAAAAAAAATCTAGTAAAGGGAACTTCATGGGTAAATATTAAGATTAGTTCTCAGGTATCTTTGTCGCCTTTCCTGTACTTCTGACTTGGGTGGGTGGCTGGTTTATGGCTACCAGCAAACTCACCGAGAGCTCATCAACAACCCACAGGAGGAAAACCGCACCCCACGGCAGTGGCACGTCCCTTCTCGGGATGTGGAACCCGAGGTACCTGCTGATGTTGACAAACACAGCCGTTTTCTTCATCGCCTGGAAGAAGTCCTTGTTGCAGAGCTCCTTGGTCGCAGGCGTCAGGGAGCAGGACACCACGACAAAATCAGACTCGGCGGCCAGCTTGGGGGCAGACACTGGGGGAGGGGAGGGCTCCGTCAGGCACTGAGCTGGTGGGAGGCCAGGCGCTCTGGTCCTCCACGCAGGACGGAAACTCCCGAGATGTTTCCGGAAGGCCTCGTCTCCACTTGGGCAACTCTGATGACAGTATAAACTCTGTAGCCATTTATGGGATCCTGAGGCATCAGATCATTCCACTGGCCCCTTGGTCTAACAGATGGGGAAACTGAGGCCAGAGAGGAGCAAGAGCTCATTCAAGGTCACACAGTGCGACCTGGGTCACTGTGGCTTTCACCACCTTCAAGGCCTGGTGTGGCAAGGGGTTAAGGAACAGCCCTCTGGTCCCCAAGCTGTGCACCCTGCTAGGGGGCTGTATCCACCTGGACAAAGGGGCATTTTTCTAATTCACACACAGGCTGGGGATAACACCACTTGGTTAGGGAACTAAGTTATGGTCGTCACAGTGGGCCCCGGACATACCTGAGGTCTAACAGTCTGCCTGCAAATGATGCCATTCAAGAAGATGGGCGACCCCAGGGGCGCCCCTGGAAATCAAAGTTCACTTACCAAACTCTGCGTGGAATTCCTCCGCCTCCTGGGGCCTGGGCTGCCGTCCCGTGTAGAGAAACCTCTGGACGCCGAATGGTTTCAGACGCCGAGCGACAGCCTGGCCTGGATACGAGGAGGGAGAGCCATGGCTTGCTCCCGTCCCCTCAGCCAGCAGCAGCCGCAAACCGCTTCCGAGACCATCCCCTTGTGCTCATCAGCACAGGCCCCACGATGCCCTCAGGGGCCACACGGCAGCCCTTCAGAGATCTGGAGGCAATATCCCAGCTCCCCTGTGGCTGTGACAGGCTTTACGCTGTCCCCACATGGTCCTGGCCACCTTGAGGGCCATCTATGAATCTCCTCTGAGAACTGGGCCTGCGATTCCAGAAGAGACCTGACCAAGCAGTCCCCTCCCTCCTCCTCACCCCGTTGCTTCTGTTAACGTGGCCCCAGACGTCACTTGACTTCGTAGAGCTTTTTGCCAGCCGGCCAGCGTGCCCCAAAGTGCACGGGTTATTTTTAGATTTAGAACACCCAAAGCTGTTAGGTCCCTCCAAGCGGCTCTCCAGTATGAGAGGCAGGGCTGCTGGCTGGTAGACAGGTCACCCACAGTCTCACCCCTCCCCCTCCCCCTGCACCCAGGCAGGATGCCAGAGAGCGATGGCAGCTGCCTGCGTGAGCTCGGGCCTCTGTCGGACTTCTCCAAACGGGGGCCACTGGAAGGAAAATAGTTGCGCCTCGTCTGCAGAACGCAGCAGGCCTGCTGGCCCCAGAGTGAAGGCCCCGTGGATCCCGCGCCTTCTGGGAGCCAGGCCTGGGGGAGCGTGGCCCCTCAGAGGACCACCCCTGCGGCCTGAGGTCTGCAGCTGGCGTCTCTTTTTACACAGTGGCAAGCATTCCGAATCGTGGGCCTTAACACTGCCTTCTGTCACCCAGTGCGTTCCTAATGAAATCCTGGTTTTGTGTGTGTGTGGGGTGGCGTGCGGCGGGGGTGGGGCTGTTTTATGAAGCTGAGTCTGTTCATTAGAGGTTTCCCTCCCAGTGCGTGCAAACCACGTGACGACACGCAGCTAAGGAAACCCCTACAGAAGAGGATTCTCAGCGCCTAGACACACAGTCCAGGCACGCAGGTCAAACTGAGAGCCAGTGGTGGGCAACTCACCAATGCGGCCCAGCCCGATGATGCCCACGGTGCTCTGGGAGAGGCCGTGACCACACATCCAGAGGGGCTTCCATGACGTCCAGCCGCCGCTGCAGGGAGTGAGTGGGTGAGCGACAAGGGCCGGAACAAGAGCCTCCACACACTCCAACCCAGCACCCAGTGCACCGAGAGGGAGGCTGAGCTAGCCCTAAAGCAACGCAGCACTGAAAAGCACGGGGAACAACAGCTCCTCCTTTGAAGCCAGAATGCGAGGGCTGGACGCGGCCTCAGAGGCTCCCCTGCACTGGGCAGATGGGGAAACTGAGACCAGAAAGGGTGACCTGCCCGAGGCCACACCGCCCGGCAGAGAGGGTTAGAGCACGTTGCAGACTTGGGGTTTGGGATCCCAAAATCAGTGATGTCAGGCAGAAAGTAAAGCCACAGGCCCAGCCCCATGGCCCTGGGGGGACCAGAGAACAGAGCCTGTCTTAAGTGACCTTCGATAAAGGGGTCGGAGGGCGAGCCGGACACTGAGCACTGTCTCTAACTGGCATCCTACTGTTCTGCCCCATCCCCACCCCACATCGAGCCCCTCCCATGTGGATGCCCCCCGCCTTTCTCAAGCTGTCTCCTGCCCCTGGCACACCTTCCCCAGCTCTTAGAGCTCAATCCCTTATCTGAAACCTATGGACCAGAGCTCAGAATTTCTCAAATTTTAGAAAGGCAGCGTGGTACCTGTGCCATGTGCTATGTGACACTCGCCAGAGTGGATGGCACCCTGTATCAAGCACCAGTATTTCTGCAGCAAAGCATGCAGCTGTTCAGGCTGAACAGAATAAATAAGGCCCACTGGCAGCCTCGTGTGGTCCCAGGCAGGTTTTGCTACCAAAAGATTTATGGAAGATCTTTCAGAGAATTTTGGTTTTCAGCATCACGGACGAGGCGTGGCAGGCCTGTGCCTCTCAGCACCCAAGGCGACGCTCAACACTGCATCTTCCGCGTGGCCTTCCCTGCTCCACGCCTCCTCCCACCCAGAGCAAATGCCCCGTCTCCCGATCCTGCTCTTCCAGGCTCTGTTCATCCCAGTTCGGCCTTGTGCTTCCATGTTTGTCTGAGTCTGGCCCCTCACCCCACCGCCAGCACACACACACACGCGAGACGGGATGAGCCCACAGGCTCAGTTCAAGGAGCAGAGCCACTTTCCCACCAGGTGTGCACTCACTTCTTCACTTCTGCGATGGCCTCTGGTAGCCTGCGACAGGTGGTGAGCAGCAGGGAGACGGCGAGTTCGGCAGTGGCGTCTGTCAGGACGTCCGGGGTATAGCCGACGCGGATGCCACTACGAATCAAACACCTCGTAACGTGGGCCTCAACACCTCCACCCACAGCTACTGCTGGGACCTCTCCACATGCTACCTTGTTCCCTCTTCACTCTGCCTGCCAGGAAGCTCAGCGTTCTAAATGAGCGTTCAGGAGTGCCCACCCCTGACTCCCGTGTCGAGTATCTCCCCTCTCGGGAACGATACAAAGATGGAAGATCAGGGCTGAAAAACAAGGAATTACTTAATCTTTCTGAATTTCCTCATGGGTATGGGAAAACAGTAATGCTTGGGTTGTAGGGATCGGAGAAGATACTGAATCTGAAAGGGTAACAAACTGCTCAGACGGCAGACAGACACGTGCATGTGCGCTCGCGCACACACGCACGGCCCCACTTCTGACTCGGGCCTCGTGAGTGTTTTATCTGCAGCCACCTCACGTGCTCGCTGAATGGCTGAGGGTCCAAGTGAAGATAAATACTAGCTCCTCTTCCCCTCGCTGGCAGCCCACCGCCCCGCAGGCCCCTGCCAAAGCCCAAGCTGCATTTACCGCTTCTTGATTTCATCCAGAGCCAAGTGGTCGACGCCCACGGACAGCGTGCTGATGACCCTGAGGTTGGCTCCTGTGGTGTGGAAGAAGCCCCCGTGTACCTTTCCTCACGGAATTCGAAGCCCCCTTGACCGTGGGGACACCTGCTTAGTATTATTTTCTGAGAAACACAGTCAAGGCTGGTGTTTCCTTTCCTCACTTAAAACTCGGAACACTCCACTGGTCAGGTACACACACTGGCTCAGAGGCATTAAGGCCCTGCCTGGTCACAGGATGCCACTGGCCCAAGATCTGACACCAAGGCCCAGCTCCTACCCACTAACCGGCTGCCCAGGGAGGCCATCACCTGGGGCTTCCCCAGGACATCGGAGAGCACCAGCAAGGTCGGTGAGGCCCAATCCTGCGACACCCTCTCCTCTGAGCAGGCAGCAGAGAGCTCCTGGGCCACGGTCGGGGCACGGGTGCCAGTCTTGGCTCAGCCCTGACTGCAGAGGCCCCTCTCCACGCAGCAGGCTCCAATCGGAACCTTCAGTCAAACCGCCATGACGGCCAACCTCAAGGAGTGATGATAGTACCTGGCCCCAGACATGGCACCGATGGAAACCCCTGGTGCCGCTGGAGCCTGGCACTGAGCCGGGCCCTCCCACGCTGCTCCGTGTCACGAAGCAAGGCTGCGACAGGGCTGGTGAGGGCTCAGGGACCTGGGTGCCCGCCCGCACGCTCCCTGCCCCGCTCCAGGGAGCCGCAGCCAGGGAAGCGGGGCTGAGTGTATGTGTGTGTGTGTGTGTGTGTACACACACCCTTGGACCTAGTATCTCAGCAAGTGCCCGCAGAGCCCTGAGGGGTCCCTGGAGGCCTGCTCAGGGGACCAGCAGAAGAGCGACATGCCTACAGGGCCAAGACGCCCCCGACCCCTCCTCGGACCTGCCCAGTGCACATACCTGCTGCGTCCAGAAGCCGCTTGTCTATGCGGTCAGAGAGAAGGCAAAGCAGGCCATGGGCCCCAGCCACGCCTCGCTCTAGCTCCCTGTCGGGAATGGGCTCATCCGAATCCCACTGCTCCACCTCACAGCTGAAGGCAAAGAAAAGCCCACTCAGGAGAGGCAGGGGAGCCCCACAGAGATGCCCCAGGCCCCCGGATTCCCACAGCCACACCCGCTGCCTGCCCTCTCAGAGCTGGGAAAGACTGCCTCCTGCTGCTCTGGGGCTGGCTGAGGGGAGTCGGAGGCCAGGCACAGACAGGGCGTCAGAACTGTCCTCAGAGGGCTGCTGAAGGGCTGTCCCAGGGCTGAGGAACTGACAAGGTCTGAGCGAGCCCCAAAAGCAGAGCCTCAATTGAAAGGGGAAAATGTAAAGGGACAACTCTGCTCAACAGGAGGACTCGTGGGCCGTGAGCTCCCTGACATGGGTGTCCAAGCAGGTGGTCACTTGCTGGCAAGGCTGTGGAGAGGAGAGGGTTCCCGTACCAGATGGGGTCTGGCTTCTGTAATGGATAGAACTGTGTCCCCAGAAAAGACGTGCTGAAGTGCTGAGCCCTGGCACCTGTGAACGTGACCTTGTCTGGAAACAGGGTCTTC